GTATTGATTTTCAAATTCCATTATTATTCCCTTTAGAAATGTGCGATGTCATAAAAAATGAAAAACATTAATGCTGAGACAGTTGCATTGTGGGTAATACTTGAGTATGACAGAGATGTGGAAATGATTGATGTTATAAATTGCTAATATCTGTGGAAATTATAATTTCTTAAAATATCAGAAAAATTATTATGAAACTGAAAAATATTTCCCATCAATAAAAATCGTATGCAATGTACAAAATTCACGGGAATACAAGAATGATTTGAGGAATTCAATATGCCCTGTACAAAGTCTTTGTCACTGTAATTCATAAAGAGTAAAGCCTCTATAGAATTTAATGAAAATTATAGTCACAGAGCAGTTTTTATAATATAAAAACATCAATATTGATATTTGCATAGTTAATGTATTATGCGTACATTGTCAACAGTATTCACAATGTATGACTAACAGGAAAGGATATGCCAGGAAAAGAAATTACATAAAAACACCCCCCCCCTCCCCAGTTTATTACGCATATGACCCCTATTTTGCCTTAAATCAACATGTGTAAATAGTCAAGCAAAGAATAGTGTTATTTGTCTTGCTGTAAGCCTATACTTTTTATCTTATTTTTAATTATATAATATGTCTTATGAAAATCCATTTCATAATGGATGTATCATACAATTCCTTTTAAGATGAGAAATCACAGGTGATGTGTATATGTATGGTTACACAAAAATGTCACCATTACAAAATTACTTTTCAACATAAAGAAATCACTCCTACAATCGTATTGAATCCCTTTCGCGGTCAGTCTAGTTTTCGCGATCACGCTAAAAAGGCCAAATAGACAATTAATTATATTTATTTTTGTAAAACAAAAAAAGAAGTCCAAACATTGCCAGTCTACTTGCTTCAATACGATTTTGTATATGAAAAGTTCAAACTTTTAAAATAGGAATATAAAAATAACTGCTGATTATATAAACATAAATTCATTGCTAAAACACAAACTAGCATAAATATGAAAAATTTCCCCCAAATAAATATAATAGTTAATTGCATATATATAAAAATATATACATGTATTAAAGTAAAACAATCAGAATACTGTAACAATAATTTTATTTTTACTTTTAATTTCAGTCACAAACCTTTGGTTCATTCATGTCACATTATTGTCTTGTATGGATTGGGGGGGGGGGGGCATATTTGTATATATTTTTATCACTAACGATAAATGTCCCACAGAAAAAAAAATTACAGAGAATCAAAATAAAACAGAGACTAATTACTAAACTGCAAATTAGGCCATTATTACATGTAAA